GATACCTAAAACAACGACATTCGATGGATGGGGGGACGGGGGCTTCACAACGGATGCACACACAGATGAATTGACCTGTATCGGCGGTTCCTCCCCGCCATCTCGCTCATCGGATGACAAATGGAGAAGTGTATGATGTTTATGCGAACATTCTCTACAATTCGGTTTCGCCTTACATTTCGGGACCTAGTGATCGACACTCAAACAATAATTGAGACATACACGATACTCTCGCGCCCACCACGTTCGGTCTTCGGCCGCCCAAGACTTGAATCGCATACACGCGGTTAATACATGTGAACCGGCACAACATGGACAATTCTCGTCTTCCTTAGCTGTTACAAATGACACCGGACGAGACCCTTTTGATTTCCCATAGTGATCTCCACTCTTACGGGCTGTGCTTATCGGCTTTCCTCCCTTAACTTGAGCGACAGCGTTACCAACCTTTTCCGGGGTCAGCGACGTTTTCCAATATAGACACGCGCGTGCAAACAAACTTGAATAATTCAACTATGGACGGATAATCAGCCGAATTACTCGACTCGAATAATTTACGCGTAACAACGGGCAAACACTTAAAAGCAATTGTAAATAAAATTAATGACCCCAAGTTCGGTACGTTTAATGCTTCCGACAGCGAAATACTTTCGTTTACCGTACCTACAAAATTGTTAAGGTCTTGTAACGACTCTTGCGACATGATTGGCGTGCTTAATAATCGATCAAGTAACGACGATCGCTCAGACAGGAGGGACAATGCGAGATTATAATTTTCTCCGGTCACCGGAACACGACGTATCGCGTCGGCCGCTTCACCTGTAAGACACCCGATTAAATAGTACATTTTATCTAGGTTAGATAGTATGAGTCGCGCGTCCACTTGTACTTTAAATCTATCACGGAACATGGGCCACAGACGGAAATCTCCGTCGAACCTGGGGAGCGGAATTTCTGGCAGTCGTAATAACGGATTTTGGTAATTTTCCTGAGGAAAGTCGGTCGATCCTAACCTAGTCTGAAGGTACGACATATCGATTACCTCAACGCCCTTGGGTATTAACTTCGCCGCCGCAACCTTACACTCACTAATACATTTACGTATTTCAGCTGTCAAACCGACATCATACTCGGAGAGTCTATCTAAATCGGTTAAACCGTCTAATATCGCATCATCTTCAAACCTAAATTGCGTCCACAACGAATCTAAATCGGCAGTTAAATGTGTAACGGTCGGACCTAGGTCGGGTTCCTCTACAACTTGTAATGCTAAATTATGCACGGCCTTAATCTGTGCTATTACATTCGAACGCCCGAGTTTAACACGCTCTAAACGCCGAGCACCACGCACACCATTAGTATCAGTCCCGCTAGCCATAATAGACAGTAACTTGCTATTACCACGCTATCTCCGCTAAGACTAAAATTATAACCACTGACGTTTAACCCAGTACTGTGTGACCACGTGAGCCACGCCAATAACCCAACAACTAACACCACCGAACCAACACAAAAACGCTGCTGAACCTCCCTATAAGGTCAGAACCACGCTCTGCTACCAAAAATGTTCGCCGTTCTGCTCCTACTTGATAATCGTGGTTAGCGTGAACGACTTGCGTTTTTTTGTTGGACAGGAAGAAGGTAGGGTTACCCAAGCAAAATATACAAAAATATCAAATAATAGTAATACAGTGCCGAACACCTGTGGTATATACATATATATATATATAATATGAGGCGCATAGAACCACAACAGCTTAACCCACAAAAAAACAAATTCTGTTTTATGTGATAAAACGTTTCATATGGATATAATATTTGAAATCCACTATGGCCTATCCCTCAAAAAAAATTATTCGCTAGATGGCAGCACATAATTCGTTTTGGCATTGATATTTAAATTATTATTTTCAGTGCTAAAATGGCCTAACCCGTTGATAGCGGGTTAGGCCATTTTAGTTTTCAGATTAATTTGCCGCCAATATGTTAGGCTACTGATACATTATGTAAAAAATTATGTTACTTCTGAAAAACTTATAATGTATTCTGACCAGTGCGGTGGTCAAAACAGAAATATTAAAATGGCTGTTCTGTGTAATTACATAGTTGCAAGTCCCTCATTTACTGTAAATGAAATTGATCATAAATTTTTAGTTAGCGGGCATTCGTTTCTACCATGTGACCAAGATTTTGGTCTGGTAGAGAAACAAAAAAAATATCATTCTGAAATTCATGTACCAGATGATTGGAAGTCAGTGATAACATCTGCCAGGAAAAGAAATCCATTTCAAATTGTCAATATGACAAAAAATGATTTTTTTTCAACCAAGTCCTTGGAGAAGCAAATTACTAATAGAAAAATCAATACAACAAATCAGAAAGTAGAATGGCTTAAAATACAATGGTTAAATTATAAAAATGACCAACATTTTAAATTTAATTATAAATATTCTAATAATCCTGATTTCCCATTTAACAGTGTTTATGTTGGTAAAAGGATATCTAAAATTGAAGACTATACAAGAATGTTAGATCTATTGTATCCTAATGGGCATACAATAACTGAAGCAAAAAAAAAAGATTTGTTAGATTTACTTGCATTTATACCCCCTATAAAACACCAATTTTATACTAATCTTAAAGTTAATAAAAACCACGATGAAGATTATCAAGATTCAAACGAAGATGAACATATTGAATAAGTATGTAGCTTATAATAAATTATTATTATTATTAAAATGTATATGATTTTAAATTATGTTATTAAGTTTAAATTTATTATTTTTAAAGGTTTAGAAAAGTTCTCTAACATTTATATTATTATTTTAAGTTTTCCACCCAGTGTTATTAGTTTGTTTTTATTTTTGATTGATTTTTATTTAATTATTAAGCAAAGAAGACTGATAATGTGATATCAATAATTATTATTAATCTGAAGGATCTCAGAGTTATTTTCCTTAACAAAATATTGTAAATAGATAACTAAGAGTTTTTTTTTTTTTTTTAGAGTTTTCTTGTTGATTTTAATAATTTGATGAAGAATAAAGTCTTATAATATTTCTTTTAATATTTATGTATGTTACAAAGAAACAGATTTATGAAAATAAGTATTGAAGTAAATTCAAATGTTGCATGTGTAATAATATTGTTATGATGAATTAAAATTGTATTTGTTTTTTGCACTAAGCTCAGAACACTAATTTTATCATGTGAAAAAAATATTATAATCATAAAAATATATTTCAACTATCAATTATATTTTAATTGTATACTACAAATTGAAACCAATACAATCAAGTTAATATTTTATTAAAAGAACCCGATTAAAGTGAATAACACATTTTCAATGAGCCGGCCTAACCCACCTGACATATATAATATATCTATTATATTATATAATAGAAATATTACTTAATCATTAATATGCGAGCACCCAAATCAATAAAAACGTTCGCTTATAAAATATAATAACAATAACTGCACGTATATAATATTATTGAATATGTGCATATAACTATAGACGATAAATAATATGGTCTTGAGTACAATGACCTCAAGTACCGCAATGAATATAATAAAAAAAAATGAAAATAATAATAGAATGGACACAAATTTGAACACTAAGTTCGCAATATATACAACAATTTGAATGACCACTGACCATGAATAATAAATATAATAGTCAGTAAATATAACCTGAAGCGACAGCAAAATCTGGTCCCTTGATCGCACCGTGACTCTTCCGATGATGGTGATAATTGGATTCACACGAGGTTTTTAGTTTAACCTAATAGCGACGTTGCGTGTGCGTGTAGTTCGACCGTTGGAAAAAGACAAAACTACAGATGAAATATAGCAAAGCTTGTCGGCCGACACGAACGTCAACGGTCTGGTCTCTCCAGACGTAGGAGGAGGAGCTTGCTGGAACTTTATATTATCTATTTGTCACATTTGTAGAGTCCCAGCAAAGCTTATTAGGCGGGATTGTTCCGCGTCCGAACAATGTTTGATTACCGGTTATATTGTTAAAAATGTAATTAAAATCGAGCTAATACAAGTTCTGATAACGTTTTCTATAATAGGTATACCTAATTTAATATATTATTATATTATACATTGTTGGATACGTGTTTTTCGGAACGGACGTAGCAGAGCGCGCCGTCGTTATCAGCACCCGAGTCGTGCATTCGCGCCGACCTCTGGTGGCTGAAGACTCGTTCGTCGTGCGCGTTATCACACGTCCGAAAAATCGCGATACGTTTTTCGGAAATGAGCTTTTCATCACGTGTTCGTCGGTGCCGTATTTTTGTATTTTTTTTTCATATGGTCGTTGCTAAAATGAAACACATTTGTATTTTCACGTGTTAACGTTAACTGACGTTCGGGTTTGTGTCCGTCCGCCGTCGTGTTGTTAACTATAGTGCGGCTCACGAAAAGTGAGCGTTCAAGATCAATGGGTGGTGACCAAATATTGTCGAAACCAGGGGTTCTCCGTTTTGTAGTATATTCCACCGACCGTCTCATGCGCTATGATTTCTTTTGGCGGGACCATATTCAATAGACATTCCTTTTATGTAGCAGTCCCTACTCTATTTTTTTTTGTACCTTTTTTTTTTTTTTTTTGAGTAGACCCTTCATTGTGTATAGCCTTACAATTGTCATCTTTCGTGAGCTCGACGTAGTGAACGCATGTGTTTAGTGAACAGTGTTAAAATATTTGATCTGCTTTTGGTGTTAAACTGTTAAATTTGTAATTTGTTTTTAATTAATACTATTTTTTAAATTATTTTACTTTAAAATGCCTTTTAAAAATAATGACACTCGTAGTCAAACCAAAAAAGTAATTTTTAATGTGTACAATTACTTAAAAAGTTTAGCTACTTCCGACGACTTGGCTTTAAAAGAATATTTTAAACAAACATAAAAAATTACTGCCGACGCGTGTGGTGTATCTGTTATAACAGTAAGACGAGTGTGTGCAGAAGGATCTTCTACCGATGATGTCTCAGACTGGCCACAAACTGGACCATCATTTAAATCACCACGAAAAACGTATAAACGTAAAAAGTATGCCACAGAACTGGACGATTTCGATAGCGATGTTATACGAAGAACTATATATGAATGTTATGAAAAAGGTGAGTATCCTACATCAAAATTAATTTTAAATGCTGTACAACAAAAATTTGGTTATAAAGGTAGTCTTGCTTCAATGAAAAGATTGTTAAAAAAATTAAAATTTACGTACAAAAAATGTAACGATGGACGTAGATTTTTAATGGAACGAAATGACATTGTTGCTTTGAGGTGTAAATTTTTACGTACGATGTGTACACTACGTAGAAATAACGATTCCCGTCCCGTCATTTACTTAAACGAGACCTGGGTGAATCAAAACCATTCCAAAACTTTTATATGGCAAAATGAGTTGGAAACTGAAGGTTTAAAGGTACCTACCGGTAAGGGAGGCCGACTCATTGTTTGTCATGCAGGTTCAAGTCATCATGGTTTTATTAAGGAAGCAAAATTAATTTTTCGAAGCAAATCTGGCGATACAGAAGACTACCATAGTCAAATGAATGCCGCCGTTTTTAGATCTTGGTTCGTACAATTGTTGCAATCCCTTGAAGAACCATGTGTCATCGTCATGGACAACGCTCCATACCACTCAATGTTGGAAGATAATTTTCCAAAGAGCAATGCCCGAAAAGCCGATGTTCAAGAATGGTTGACTAAAAAAAATATTAATTTTTCTCCGCTAGAAACAGTTGCTGAACTTCGTGAAAAAATTAAAGTTTTAATACCGACCGAAAAAAAATATGAGCTGGATGAATTGGCCTTTAAAATGGGACATGAAGTTGTACGATTACCACCATATCATTGCCATTACAATCCCATTGAAATGATATGGGCAAAAGTAAAGGGACAGGTTGCATCTAAAAATACAACCTTCAAGATGGCTGATGTTGAAAAACTAATGCATGAAGCAATAATTTCGGTGAAAAAAGAAAATTGGGAAAATTGCATACGTCATGCCGAAAGATTACAGGACGAAGATTATGAAAAAGAAAAACGTAGAGAAGTAATTTTGGAGCCTATTATTCTTACAATACAACCAGGTGATACCAGCTGTGATGAAGACGACGAGGAAGACGATATAATATAATTTTTGTGTAAAAAATGTATATATTACCTAATGACTGTATTTTAAATTATTTTATATTTGTGTTCTTTAATATTTTTTATGATTAAATCATGATTAGTTTTTTAATATCGGTATTTAAAATAGTTAATGCAATTTTTTCTAATCCTAACATTCATATAAATTATGTGTTTAATATTAATGCAATGTATATTGTGCTGTATAATAGTATACTAGCATTAAAAATTTTAAAAACCGCGGAAAACCGGTTTGACAATCACTTACTAAAATTGGCCACGGGATTCGCTGATGTCAGCGCTCACTTTTCGTGAACCGCACTATACGTAGTAGTGTAGTACATCCCATTTTATACGTCGATAATTGTCGCGTTGTCGGTTGTAGACCACCGTTTTGTGTTCGCCATCTTTGCCATTGCTAAAGTGGAGTTGTCACGGGGTCAGGTCAGACGGTTTCCATTATTATTATTATTTTATTATACCTTTAGTTAACTACATATGTGTATCATATTATTGTAATATATATAAATTTATGCATTGTATACAGTCCATTATTTTTATTATTTTTTTTCTTTTTATACATATATTGTATTTATTCCTGTTGCGATACAACCACAAAAAAGACTTGGCTATCGCAACAACCATACATAGATAAGTCACACACGATTAAAGGCGTTTTTTACGGAAGAAACGTCTATAAATACTTAATATACTATCGAATAATAAATTATCGCTTGTATTGTCATTTTATCTCAAAAACTCTATGGTATTGTCAGACAACAGTATATATGTTACGGTAAATGATGTTATATCAGAAATTAACGTTATTCACCGGTTATTAACGTTATTTACCTACGAATGTGGGAATTATCGTTATTTTCTAGTGAATAACGTTAATAACCGTATGATTTGGGAAATTTTGATCTGATTATAAAATAAAAGAGGTTATTGCGGAAGATTTAAAAAAATAACCAAAGAACCAATCATCAAAGAAGACAAAATCGGAAATTAAATCATAGAAATCGCAGAAAAAAATTCAGAACTTGGTACTTAAATATTTTTTAATTATTTAACGATAAATTTCCGAATTTTAAATATAACAAAAATAAAACTAAAATATAAATATTTGAATATTAATTTAAATATTTTTTTGATGATTGTCAAGAAAATATTTGTATTGCATGTAAAAATTCAAAAAAAAATTTAGAAAAACAAGGAGAGAAAATGATGAAATTTTCTAAAGAAAAGTTTCCTCAGCTTGAAATAGGCTTAACTGTATGTGTATTTATACCAAACGTTGATAGAGCTCGTGATTCTATGCAAAATATACTATTAGTTGTCACTCAAGTTGAACATGATTTATACAAACTCTGTAAGTTAATTCTTAATGAAAAAATATACTATTAAAATTAAAATTTGTTTTATTATTTTATAAATACGGAATATAGTTTTCTTAAATATTATTTCACATGCCAAAAATAGCTGTTTGCAAATAAAATCTATTAGACATGGAGAATGTGATAAAATTAGCAGATGGTAGACAGTTGACACTGAGGGAAGTAGCTAGTAATAATTCGGTTGCGAGCCCTCGAAGGTACCAGCGTTGTCATTGCAAGACTAGTTGTAATAATAATAAGCATTGTGCTTACCTTGGGGCTGAAAAATTATGTTATATTAAATGGCATGGGAGTAAAACTTGTAAAAATAAATAAAAAATAATAATGCATTTATTCTATTTTTAAAAATATCTGGGTACTTACATAATTTTTCAAATTGTAGTATTTGAGATTCATGCGCTTATCTGATTTATAACATCAATTACCTGTGTATTTGGTCATTAACGTGATTATCCAGTTTATAACGATAATTACCTGTATATTTGGTAAATAACGTTAATAACCGGTGAATAACGTTAATTTCCATTTAACATCATTTACCGTAACATATACAATACACACAGTAATAGCATTATTCATAAATAATATTATCGTACACAGGTGATACAAATTCACCTGTAAAACAAATATTAATTAATATTAATAGAAATATAATATATTCAAATACTTATACATTACCTTACCATGAACTGATCCAGCTGTAGAATTAAAAAATTCTCTCACCTGAAAGGCTGGTTGACTTGCATTTCCACCTTGTATTGGAATATTTTGTAATGTTAAGTCTACTGCTGAATTAATATTTTCTTCTCGATGTAATGTTAACTCCAAAATGTTGACTCCATGTTATGTAGTCCTACATTTATTTTAATGAAATTGTGCAAAACACAGTTGCTAAAATTATATTGTCAGCTTTTTCAGGTTTTGCTTGGATACTTCGGTTGAATATTCTAAATTTTCGTGTCAAAATCCCTAACGTGTTTTCAACAACTCCCTTTCCTCTACAATAACGTTAGTTATATACTCTTTTTGAACTATCAACAAGTTGTTTTTCAGGGTAAGTCTCATTAGATATGTTTTTAAAGGGAATGCCTTGTCTCCTAAAATTACAAATGGGGTCGCATTTTCAGTTCCAGGAAGTTTGGTACCTGAAAGTACATTCAGTTGATTACTATCTAAGCTTTTTCCTAGTTTCAAGTTCATTAGAATACCTCCATCACTATTTCTACCATACGCACCTACTAGAATAAAATTATAATGGGCATCGACGAAACCCATAAGTACCAAAAGGTCTTTTTAGTTAAAATATAGTGTCCCACTATTTAGTTGTTATGGCACAAAGAAGCCATTAAACATTCAATATTATAGAATATTATAGTACCTACAGTAGAGACATCTAGCGGTTTGGTAGACCGTAAACTTAATCGTTAAATTTAGAGCTAATGGTCATCAAATCTACCTTGTAGCTGTCGTAGTAGAATGTATGATATATATACAAGTATTAGACTTTGTTTAATGCGAGGTTTTGAAGATCGCATTTGGGTGCGGCACGCGGTAGATATAAGTTAGCATCAATGTTGTTCAACTGTGTGTATCTAGACTGTGCGATGGTGTTCTTTCAAAACTTCCAGTTAATTTTTCAATAGTAAAATAAATTGCTAATAGTAATATCAATTTCATTAAGTATGTTTAATTATTTAATAATAAAGGCTTTAACACTCCGATTTCTTTCTGTAGATCTTTAATTCTACCTTATAATTTTTAGTATAAAGTTTATATTTTGCTCAAAAATGTTTTATCAAGCGTGGTTCAAGGGAAGCTAAGAGACTTTAACCCTTCATTTGAATTTATATAATATACCTTATCTAGTACCTATTACGTATTTATCAAGATTTATTTATGTAATAAATTGTTCATAACATGTTTTAAATTCCATAAATTAAAAATATTAATAAAATTTATATTGTTATTGTATCTTATCTGTAGTCTGTTACGTGTTAAATGTCAGGAATAACTTTTGAATTTCAAAACTTCATATTCAATTATTGATGAGATGCCAGAGTCAATGAGCATAAAAGTAAAATATACAATTTATTTTCTTTTACGGCCCACAGTCACTGCTAATTTTTATTTTTTTTTGTTAAAAACCTAATAATTCCTCTTTTTAGGAGTGTAAGGTGTTTGTAAATTGGTTTAAAACTAGTTATAATGTTTACCTTTCAATGTACTTATGAATTTGATTTTCGAAAAATTTACAACAAAAGGCGTCGAAAACCGTTTTTTATTAAAACCATATTTGATGCGAAATCTAGAAGAAGGAATAAGTTTTGAATTTCGAAACTTCATATTCCTTTTAGATCAACGGCGTCATTTCAGGTTTTTTTTGTTGAGAATTCGAGGTTTCAAGCAGACCATATAAAAATAGATATACCTTTATGTACATAATCCTGCTTTCAATTGGAAAGGCTCCTATAATCTTTATCTAATAATTTATTTTAGAAACTTGATGAATATGTTATTCAGTGATTGACATGTTCTGAGTTCTGACAATTTAAAAAATGTTTAAGGTTTGTTTCATATAATTTGTCTCCAAACTTTTATAAATTTGTAAAAGAAAAAATACTATTACGATGTAAATTTTTCGCCTCTAAAATTTTGCCGCTGTAAGTATATGCTACTTTGTTTATTAGGAAATACGCTACTGTTCAATAGGAATAATTGTCATGTCAGTTGTGGTGACGCAAATTGTATGTTAAGTAATGAGTCACATCATTATTCCAATCTTCGCACTCTTCGAAATCATTATAAATTAAAATATACTAATTTTTGTTCCTTTGTTCAAAAAGTACGTATTTCGAATCGATAATGTGAGTGAAAAGTTACTGCCAGCTATTTGTGTATATCATACAGATAATCGGCAGACGGTCTCATTATTATTATCAAACTGGTCATGGGTTGAGGCAAATTTTATTATACTAGTTTTATGCGTAGTATTGAATGACAATAGCATTGTTAAAGAGCTGATTATTACATATAATAAAAAAATACAGCCAAAATTAATGAATAATAGCTAAAAAGAAAAGTTTTCAATATATTATACCGTGTAAGCCGTGTAAGGGCGTACTTATAAATTACATCTGTAAATCTGTTACAACCAAGTCCAGCGAGGCAGCGAGCGAACAAGAAGCGCGCCGACCAAAATCGGTCCGGTAATGTCCGGTTATGCGCATCTCCTCGCGTACCCTGCCAAATGCATTCATCTAGAACAGTGGTCGGCAATAGACGGCCCGTAGAGAGAAAATAATTGGACCGCAAAAAATATTTTTTAATAATGCTGGTTTTCCGCACAAAATACATGTTGTTCCAGCCGACACGGCACGTACGATTAGAGCCGTCTGCTGCCACAACTCGTGGTGTGTCGAGGATAGAAAAAAGGTCACTATAAACGTTATATATATTAATATATAACATAATAAAAAAAGGTAGGTAGATATACCTACCATATATAATTATAAGTAATATTATTCTACAATTATGATTATAGAAGGAGGGCGCTCCAAAAATGTACAATACGTCAATACAATATTATAGAATGACTTACATATTATATAAAACGAACATAAATATATAATATTATATCCGTACTCGGAATAAAATTACACAAAATAAAACAATAATAATAATAAGGGGAAATACCCTAATAATGAACATAATGGTAGTATCTACCAAAACAACCTGGTTTACGGCAGCTCGCTTGGTGATCCGCTGACGGGTGAATGATGCTGGTCCAACGGAAAAAAACAGCAGTTTTAACTTGGTCGCCAAGAGTTTAATATATGGCGATCCACGAGTGATGCGCACAAGTATAATAAAATAATAATAGTAGTTTAATAATATAATAATAATAATAATAATAATAATAATAGCCACGCGGTTTTAGGCGGCATGCACAAGCGACACACGGGCGACACGCACTGTGCGTAAAAAACCACCGAGGTTTCGCGCGACAACACGCACACAAAAAGGAAACAGGGGCGGAAAAAACGCACCCGTCGTTTTCTCGGATATATATTATTATTTGTATACACACGAGTGAATTAAAAGGTGTGCGACACAAAAAAAAAAACGTGTCCGGCCCGACTGCGCTGTGGAAGCGTGGACATTCCGACATGGAGAGCGACGGACAACGTCAACCGAACCCGCATCGGTCAACCGGCGATCATATCGCACATAATATTACAATCGATAAAGGCGATGTAGTCGATAGCGAAGTCTGGTGGCGACGGGGAGGAAGATGTGCTTTTCTCCGAACCGGCGGGTAATTATTTGAACACGATACTGAGTTCGAACACCCATTGTATTATATTTTATCTATTTCATGATGTATGTGGAGATTACGATAGTGTTTATCTGTCGCTGTTTACAATAATAGTTATTAGTTACGATAACACGACAATTGTTATTGACTAATATTTGAATTTTTTTTTTTTTTTTAATATTCTGAACCGCTATATAATTTAATAGCCGATCACTGATCTATAGAGTCTAGACTCTAGACCACCCAAAGATCGACGGCGTGGTCCGATGTCCGGCACTCATCAGCTATTACCAACTGTTAGTTGTCACAAATCACTGTTACCAATGCTACTATTATTTTCATCCATCACTAGTCGGCACATCTCGACATGGTCGACGAGAAGGTGTGGCAGGTGATTTGTCCGAGGCGTATTTAGGGCATATAGTCTCAGTCGCACAGGCGACAAGTCCTATAGGCCCTGGCGATGGTCGATTTTACTAATTTTTTGAGTAGAAAAATTATTTTTATACAAATTATATTATGTTGTATAATTTAGAATTAGACGTTAAGCCGTAAACATTCGCGTCCGATCGCTCAAAATTAAACAGCTACATGTAGCTACTGTGTATATTATACACATACGCAACACGGTATGAAACAGTACGCACAAATATTACAAAACGTTCAGTGCGAGTTCGATCTGTGTAATCGTCTAATCGGTTAGACTACGCTGTATTGAAGTGTAATATCACTTATGTATATCTTATGTAGTCAAATATGAAATCACTATAAGTAAAGGGGCCCGGAATTGATCAGCCCCGGGGCCCACAGCAGTTCTCGCCGGCCCCGCATCTCGAGACTCGAAGACGATTCGTTCATGAATCATGATACGGATTACCGAGCGTTGTCGTCGGATTGATCGGTTGTCTAAGTTGTCTTCGGTACACCCACTACTTAAGGAGGAAAACGGGACCTCGGCAATCGATCGGCCGTAGGTCTGCATAGTGCAAAACCGGTGCGGCGCGTTCTCTTGCCGGACAGACGATAATCAGAACAGTTCCCATTGGCCCAGACGTCTCTGCGCGAACGACCTGTAACTCTGTCCACCGGGAGAACGCGTAGGTTTCGCTCGCGCAGACCAACGACCGACGACGGTGAGTGTCCGCCGAGGTATTCTGGCGGAGGATTCCTCCTATCCGAGTGTAGTGTGTACCGAAGACGGCCGACCCACTCGACTTCCACGCTCGGTAATCAACAAGTAACAACCTGTCCTGTCGTCGTCGAGACCTGCTGCTGGACTTGGAGCGCGCCGTCGATCATTGGACGGTCTAGGTGGCAGCACTCGGCTGGGTACGCAAAGGGATGCGCGAAATCGGACCGGTTTTGGTCATCGCGCGACGTTTTTTCTCGCTGGACATCGGACAATGTATACTCTATACGTCTTGTTTGTACAGTCGTTTAAAAACCAAGATGGTCGCTAGTTTTTGAGCTGTTATAACTAAATCTAAACATTTTAATCTTGTCAACAGTTTACACGGTAAAATACAATGCGGGTGGTAAAAATCAAAAATTTGAATAAATCTCATTTGGAAAAGACGTAAGTAAAATCTAACCAATACATCAATTTAATTTATTTTACGTATAAAGACATGAGATTATTTTGATTAGTTTCATCGTAAAAGGAAGAATTAGATATCTCAAAGTAGATAATAATAAAAAATCGAGTGGAAAACATTTAAATTCTATACTTTTTGATGACAGTTCAGAGATAGAAGTTGTAGCTTTCAAAGATTGCGATGAAATATTTAAAAAGTTAAATGTAAGTATATTTATTACCTAATTTATGTCGATATTTTTATGAAAATTTAAAAACGCTAACTTTTATTTAAATTTCGACAAAAATTGAAAATAGAATTATATAAATTTTATAAACATCTAATAATATAATATCAGTAATTATATAATATGGAAAATGAGATTAATATTATTTGTTGTCATTCAAAAAAATAAAAACTTTATTACTCAAGAAAATATAATTTTGCAATGGAATTAAATTATCTACCTAAAATAATATTTTTAAAAAAGTCAAAACTTTGAAGTAATGACTAACGAGTGTAGACATTTAAATGTGTCACCTTACATAAATATTTTTTTCGATAAATTTTTATATAGTATAAAAATATTCATTATTTATACAACCCTATTGGCTTTTATCATTATTCCTTATTTTTAATTGAATAAAAAAAATATCAACATACTATGTATATTCTCTCTCTTCCTCTTTCTTTGACCCACACTTAAATTCATAATTTTTTTTTTTAGTTTTTGAGTAATTTTGAAAAAAAATACCTTTAAATAAAAATTATTGAAAATAATATTTTGAGGGTTAGACATACAAATTTGTCTATTAAAATATGTAAAAAACATTGTACATTTTTAAAGTAAAATAATTAATAATATATCAAACCTTTAAAAATATTTTTTACATTTTTAATAATACCTAAGTAATTTACACTAAAATCACTTAAAATTGTTAAATATGGGTTTTGAATCAATGTATAGTATATATTATGACACAGTCAGACAAAGAAAACAAAAATTGTATGCTGACATTGGCATAAATATTTTGAAATTTAACTGATTACAAGCATGATTTAATTTATCAAAATAGGTTTTTACTAATAACTAATTAATTTGGTATTACTTATGTTATTTTATTTTATAAAACTGTGTTACTTTAGACTGATAATGTTGTACAAATTGAAAATGCTATGTTAAAAGAAGTTAATAAAGATTATAAAAAAACCAAGCACAAGTATAAAATAATATTGATAAGTAATTCAATAATTACAACCATAAATAATAATGAGGTAAATAACAATGACTTTCCAATTCACAAATACACTTCAGCCGCAGTATTAAAAACTCTAGAAACAGGAATGATAATTGGTAAGTAGATTAATAAATTATTTTATTATTATTATCTATAAAAATTAGTGGTTAGCCTCCCTTTTAGAGTATTTTAATATGTTTTTAGCTAATTGGTTTTTCTAAAATTATTAATATGCCTTTTTATTTCAGTTTATAAAAATACATTTTTAAACTATTTAAAATTAAATAGATAATAAAATGTCAAAATTAATATTATACCAATAATTTTATCATACATTTTGTACTAATACACTTATCACAAAAAAATCCACATTTTTCTATGTAAAAAAAAAAACTAAGTAAAAGAAGATCTCTTGCACTTAAAGTTGTAATATCATATTGTGTTATACTAAGTAAATCAAAAATATTAAATAATAGATACCTACATCAATATTGTAATTATTTACTTGGCAACTTTTTTTTTTCAAAAAAATTATTTAAATTAATTTTCACAATAATTTAATTTATTTTAGATGTCTTTGGTGTCTGTATCCAACTCAATAGTGAGAAGACTAATACTCAATCTCAGACATACAGAAAGGGAGTTATCAGGGTTGAACTCACAGAAGTAAGGAAATAATATTTTTTAAAACATGAAGTAGAAATGAAAAAAAATTTAATAAATGTTTGGATTATTTTTTTATTTTTTTAGTTTGAAGTTAGGTTTTATGGCGAAAAAGCTGAAAAACTGTATGATGTAGGTAGCGTATTGACCTTGTCTTGTGTTACATATATCAATATCAAAGGATCTGAATTTTTATCTGTTGGGCATTTAAGTAATGTCAAATGTACTTTGCAACAGCTATTTAATGTCCCAGTCTTGGAAAGTAAGTAATAGTTCTCTGAGTCTTATAATAAATTACAACAATTGGTTAACATAAAAAAAATATTATTATAATATTGCAAATATATTAAATATTAATATTTATTTTTTTACAAGCATCAAAGATTTGTGTCTTTTATATTACTTGACATTATTTAGTAGTTTTAGTTGAAACAGATGACCCATTAGTCACATCATGTTACACAATCTGTTAGAAAGTACAATTAATAAATTTTAACCAAAATTCAAAGTATGGACTATATAAGTTATGAACTTATGAACATTAAACTTCATTATATTTTATAATAAATAAATTAGTAAATACGCTATTTATTGGCAGTTAAATATAGATCATAAAGAAATAAAAATTAAATTTTTATTAAAAATGTATTCTGTTTTTACAATTTGTATTTTTAAGAATATTTAGCTACGAATATAATATTTTGTTATATAAACCAAAAATAAATACAAGTATACAACTACAACAAAAAATTACAATTATGATTAATGATTATGGGCAGATATTGAAATATTTATTTTTCATTTTTTTATGAATATTCTATTTCTATTGTAAATTATTCAAATAAAATAATGTTGGGTTGTCTGGCAGTCTCTTTGTAGTATGTTATAATATATTTATATCATATTTGTTTCTTCAGTTATTCAAAATAATAAATTACCTATACTTATAAATAAAAAATTGGTTATACTAGATTAATTATTGTTTATTGAATTTTAGATTCAAAAATTGAATTTTCAGACCACATACTTTTGATTCCAAGTTCGTCTTCATTTAACAATAGTAAGGGCATAGTAACAATAAAATAAATTTTAAACTTAGTTGATTATATGGTGTTTTGTATAACTTATTGCGTATATTTAGTTCATTTCAAACTAGTCTGCGAAATAATTCAATGAAGTTCCTAAACTTAGCTTAAAAATCAATTGTATGATAACTACTAATCATTTATTGCAGTTAATTAATTGTTGGGCACTAATAGTTATTGATAAATGAATAAAATTAGCCTGAAATATTTTCATCATTAGTAAAATCTTTTGTTTTGGAAATAGAATTATTATAGACATTAAAAGACATCAAGATTTTAATTTTACTTATTTAAAAAAAATGATATATATTAAGTTTATTATTTTTTTTTTAATTTTCAGGTTTGGCGATTGAATCACCTGATCAAATACCTTCGACTTCGTATTCAACTCCCTCCATCAAAAGTAAGGCGTAATAACAATAGTAAACAGTGTGTTTAGGCCTTGTTATGTAAAAAAAATGAACTATATTAAATTTATTATTTTTTTTTAAATTTCAGGTTTGGCGATTGAATCACCTGTTCAAATACCTTCAACTTCATATTCAACTCCCTCAATAAAAAGTAAGATGTAATAACAATAGTAAACAGTGTGTTTAGGCCTTG